CGTAACCAAACCGTTATCATATTGGAACCAAAAATTTATCTGATATTAGTCGGTTATTATAATTATTACCAAACTGAGTTCAAACCAATTTATATAGATAACAGAACATATCTTATATAGATAACAGAACATATCTTATATCTGTAGAATTAAAAAAACTACGAACATAAAGAATCCAACAAAAGTTGAACCCAAAATCAAACCCCAGTCCTATTACATTTAATACGATCATAGTTTTTGAAATACGGTTTTTGAAATACGGTAATAACCGATGACTTATGAATATATTATACTTTTCCAAATTAAGTTAAATCCGCGCCGGTGCGCGGGTCAAAAACTAGTTTTGGACGTTAAATATTAGAAGTCTGTCGTTAGTCTAGTGGTAAATGTAATGATTTTAGATAGAAAAGATGAATTCAAACTTTCTGGCCTTTATTTTCTTTGATACATATTTTTTAGAAAAAAATCATTAATTAATGGTCCATAGTTTTTTTTTAATTGCTTCTGGTCTTATTATTCTAAGTACCGGCACTAGTTAGGCCCTAAATTAAATTGTTTGTCATATTAAATAATTTTTAGTTTTTTTTGTTTTGTTTTAAAGTATAAAAGCACATCGAAAAAAGTATATGCAAGGAAAAAGAAACTAAAGCCGCAATTAAACTCATTCAAACTGTGTAGGTTCGAAACCAGAAACTGATTTACATTATCTCAACATGTCATTTATATATTATCTTATATCACATATATTTGTAATATAAATAACATTAAAAGTTTATAAACTAATTCAATTTCACTAATGATTGTAAACATATTTTTATCAAATTAATTACATAGAAATATTAGTCAATATTATCATAACAATTCACTGTAATCAATCATAACTTTAGTAAAATAAGTTGTTAATACACAAATTTACGTTCTTAAAAGTTAATTATTATTTAACATACACTCATTCAATATATTAGTAAAAATTCTATAAGTAAAGATAAAAGATTTACAAAGATTATTATTGTCAAAAGAATTATAAATTATATTTACATATAAATACTAATAAAAGGATTTATATGACCAAACTAGATAAAAATATATGTTCTAAACGGTAGTTTGGATGGCTTACCCTCTGGCCGGGCCAATATTTAATTTATATATAAAAAAATGTATCACAAAGTTCATTAGTTATTGCATATTATTAACCAATATAATCTCTTTAATAGAATATTAAAATATTATCAACCAGTATGATCAAATTTGATGCAATTCCTAGCATGGCGGTGCATTAAATAGTTCTGATTGGGTTGTAACTTTTTAGTTGGCTCCATTGGGATTTGTAGTCTTTAAGTGCATGATTTTGCGAGATCTAAATTATTGGACATACCTAATTTATGTATTTTGTTGGAAGAAAGAAACTTTTTTGGTCATATCAAACAAATTGTTTTTATTTTTATTTTTATAATTTAGGGGTTTCCCACTTTGTGGGTCATTTTCCTGGGGTCAGTTATGCAGCGGCCCATGTCACCCAGGAGGACTTTATCTGGATTGAGGACAAGGTGCAACACCCAGTACAACATTTGGTGACAAGATTCGGTAGTTCCCCTTCGCCTGACATCGAATCCGTGAGCATGACAATAGACTGACAGAGTCCTTACCAAACGAGTTACCTCATCCCATCACTACCTCGTGTCACTACCTCGTGCCGCCGATGGTGGAGTGCGTCGGGTTGGTAAGTAGGTCTATGCTCGTGTTTCTCTGGATTAGCTTTGCTTGGTGGGTCATTAGGAAGTTGTAGGCATCATGCAATCAAGGTTTGAAGGCGCTTTCTTTCGGACTCGTGGCAACCATCGACTTTCCTCATATGCTCCGGTCCCTTGGTCTGAGCTCGCCTCAGAGTCCTCCGTTACATTGGATACGCGCTCTTGCTGTCCTCTTTCGAGCTTCATGTCTTGTATTTTAGCTTGTGTTTAGTTTCATTATTGTTCTTCTGCTACTAGTCTCTTCTGTAATCTCTGTCAAAAACAGAAAAGTTAGTAATATAATATTTACATTTTACTAAAAGAAGAAGAAAAAAAAACATATAACTAATCCTTGTTTAGAAGTCTACAGAAATTTGCGTATTAAAAATATTTGTTTACTTATTATATCTTATATTTATATTAGTTATTTGATAAAAATGGTTTAACTTGGATGAAATATTTTTAAAATAGATATAACAACAGATAAGCTTTTGACTTTACAATAAAAGTAAAGTTAGAAAAAGCTTAGAACTTGATTTAAATAAATTGATGGCGACCATGATATAATTAAATTGGTCAATCTAAATTAATTTAGATCAGTTTAAACTGATTTAAATCAATAATAACAAAAAATTTAAAGCTAAGAAAATTCACTTACAAATAACCCCCAAAATACTAATTTCCGTTTACATTATATATGTTTAAATTTAGTTCAAATAAATTTAAAGATAATTAGGTGTTTTCCTGCAGTATGTACACTAAAAAAATATAAAATATTTTTAACAGATAAATAAATATTACATTTCAAAATAAAAATTTATTAATATTGTAAATTTTCTTTTGTTTATAATATTTTAATATAAATTTGATTTAATTAAACATAAAATTAAGATAAAAATTATTTTGTTTATTTTAAATTATATTTAAGAATATGCATGTATATATTTAAAATTATACTCTTAGATAGATTTTTCTATCTATTTATTTCAAAGAAATATATTAAAAAAATTAGTAAAAAATTGAATAATTAGCAAAAATTAAAATTAAACAGTATTTATAAAATTTGTAGATATATAAGAAACTAAGGATTGTACGATTAAATTTTTATAACTTTCTAAAAAATTGTATAGATTTTTGAAAAAAAAAATAGAAATAAAATTACATAATTAAATGATATTTTGAAATTTGTAATACCGTATTTGAATATATTTATTTTAATGATGATTTATGAGTTATTACCATATTCTAAACAAATTCTAAAAATATAAATTGACACTAAATATAATATTTGTGTCATTACCATATTTTTCATGCCATATTTGAATGAATATATATATATATATATATATATATATATATATATATATATATATACATATTTTAATGTTGATTGATGAATTATTACCATATTCTAAGAAAATTTCAAAAATATAAATCGACACTAAATGTAATATATGAGTTATTACCATAAAATTTACCAAAAATATAAATTAACATTAAATGTAATTGTACATGTCATATTAAGCTATAAGCCATGTCATCAATTTTAGTAGTCATGTCACATTATTTTTGTGAAAATGATTGTAGATAACATATGACAAAATCACTTCAAATAATGTATAGGGGATACCCATTGAATAGATCCCTCGTTTTTACCTTCTTGTTTGATGAGCAAGATACCACGTATTGAATAGATCCCTAGAAGCTGATAGGAGGATGTAGGGGAATCTGACTGTGAAACGATAACCAAACTGTAAAGCTCCGTCCGTCACAGCTAATGGGCCATGCCCGCTTTCTCGGTCAGTGGGCTCTTTCCCATCCGACGGTCGGTCTGTTATTTTTTCAAAGGCTTAAATCATTGTTTTCTAATCCTGAAATCACCATTCGACCTTTCTCCGTGTTTTAGCCTCACTCGCACGGTATCACAAATCACTTTCCGATAGGTCACCCATCCTTTCACTACTCCAGGCCAAGCACGCTTAACTCCGAAGTTCTAAATGGATGTGTGACAAAAAAAGGTAAGTAAACTTTGGTGATATTGGTAGCCAAATCAATTCTCTTAAGCATTTCTATATTACAATTCGAGATGTTACAATTCACCCCTCTTAAAGAACGCAACTGACGCTGCGTTCCACAACGAGTCTCAAGACGCTTCTCGGGTCAGAACCGAGATGGCTAACCATCTCTGATACCATTTGTAACGCCCTGTTCGTCTATGGCTAATGGGCCATTCACGCCTACTCTCTCAGCTCGTGGACCCCATCCCATTCGACTTTCGGTCTGTTAATTTTTCCAAAGGCTCGAAATCTTTGTTTAATAACCTTGCAATCAACATCCGATCTTTTCATGTGCTTTGGCCACACTTGTACGGTATCACGAATCATTTTTCGATAGGTCACCCATACTTTCACTACTCCACCCCAAGTACGCTTAACCCAGGAGTTCTAAACGAATGTATGACGGAAAAGTTAAGTCAATTTTGGTGACATATGTAGCTAAATCAATTCTCTTAAGCATTTCCATATATCACAAATCGGGATGTTGCACAAGCTTCCTTTGAAATCACAAAAGAGAAGAACAAGTGTTCCCTAGTTTCGTCATATTGGTCACACAGTAAGCATGATATATGTAGGAACATTCATTCCCCAACTTGCAAATCTGTCTCTTGATGGAAGACGATCCGAGCCAAAATCCAAGTGAAAAAAGCATGTTTGGTAATGTGAGATTTGAACCAGACAGAATTAAACCAAGGAACCTGAGGTTGTATTTGTTGAAGAGATGACCACGTTTTCGATGATGAAACTCATGAAAGGAGCAGATGTTTTATTGGATGATCAGATGTTTTGGACGTACGAGTTTGTAATCGAAACAATTTTATTCAGTCCCTTTATCGTCATCAAATCATATCGCGATGATATCGAAACGAACATTCTAATCAGTAAAATTTATTTATCTGATTTAACGTAACAAAAAAACACGCTCGTCCACATTAATCATCACCACTAGGCAGTGATATGTGTATATATGGAAAAATGTAAATTAATTAAAGATGAAGAACATACATTATTCTTAAGTATCATTACGTAGAACTCAATACTTAAATAATCTTACAAAACATCTAAAAACAATCTTATAAAACAAACGGTTTCATAGAAATGAAACTCCACGTAGAAGACCACACTTATTCATTATTAATATTGAGAACACCTTGAAAGTACAACGAGAAAATGATAATTTTGATGGTGATGGTGATGATAATGATGAGGTTGATTAAGCTCTGAGGACGTGGTCCTCCATGTCTACAACCATGCTCTCGAGGAGTTTCATGTAGCTGCTTGGTTCGGGGACATCATCGTTGCGCTTCTCCCAAACCATAGTGATTTTGCAGATGCAACTATCTTCAGTTTTGGGAATAAATTGGCCGATGAGGTCATAAACCTTGAAAAGCTCCATCACGTGACCTTCAAGTCCTCTAACCGTCATTGTTTTATTCTCATCGTCTATCTCTCTCTTCTCCTTGAATATCTCCTGTTTTCCATCTTTATATGCATTTTGTTCATCAGTAAATTTAGGTCATATTCATATGTAAATGATGCAATGAATTTGCAACATCAGGAGTTTAACTTGAGTAGTGTATAGTACTATCAAAACCGTGACACACTTAGCTGCTGCATAGTATAACTCAGCTGTGCTGTATATATAAAATGTTTAATGTATAGAGAGAAAATTAGAAGGTATAAGTAAATGAATACCCAATGTGTAGTTCCAAATCTTGATACCCCTGTGGGAGTCCCATTCGCCATCGTGAACGGTGACATTTTGAATGTGGTGGCCGACGGCATCAGGGAAAAGAAAATTTTCGCTCTTCCACCTCTTGTAATGTTTCTCCGCCGTCCTTTTAAAGGAACCTCAGTCACGTATGTTCCCGACGTCGCCATTTTTTCCCTCTCTCGTTTTAAAGCTTTTAATCTCTTTTTTTTGGTTGATGGTATAACTCTTGTCCTCGCCATGACTTATATATAGTGAATGTGTACCGTTTCTTTGATCAGTCACTTGATAGGGTTCCGCTCTTCTTTTTTAAACCGACAATGTTTAATAAGCAATAATGAGCTACATAAATGTTAATTTGCATGGGTGATCAAATTTTCTATCGCGTTATTAATGTGAGTAGTTGACACATGTTCATTTAGAAGATAATCATACGCCCATATACATACATACTTATGGTGCGTATTTCTTCTCCTTTAAATATTTTTTATCATCATCTTCAACCTAAATAAAATACATATTCGATGTCAAAAAAAAATAATAATAAAATAAAATAAAATACATATTCAAATTTGATCCATACCATGGCGGTGCATTAAATATCGGATTGGGTTGTAATTTTTAGTTGTGCTCCATTGGGATTTGTATAGTCTTTAAAATAGAATTGCATGATTTTTTGAGATCTAAATTATTGGTCATATGTGATGCAGCGCACGAAGGCAATGAATACGTCCCCGTTGCCATCACGTTAGAGTTAGATCATGTGTTTGAGCAAATGGAGTGGCACCTACGATAGGCGTATACAACAAAGCGGATGGTCGGAGAATGATGTCTTGACAAAAGCACACGAATTATATTCAAGTGGTAAGAATGAAAATTTTAATTTGGGGGATTACAGGCTTGATTTAAAATCATTCGTGAACCAGCTCACATGTGGGAGATATCAGATCTGGCTATCATCATGCAGTCATGTATCATATTGCATAATATGATTATTGAGGATGAAAGAGATACATATGCTCAGAATTGGATAGATTATGATCAATCTGAGGCAAGTGGTTCGAGTACACCATAACCATTTTTTACTAAGGTGTTACCAGCATTTGCAAATCATGTGCGTGCTAGATCGGAATTACGTGATTCAAATATGCATCATGAATTGCAACCAGATCTAGTCAAACACATATGGCAAAATGTGGAATGTTTTATGGTTAACTTTTAAAAAAAATTATGTATGTGCTTTAAGAGTTTTATTGTCTGTGAGACTAGTGTACTAATTAAATAATGTATTTTTATTTTGTGTGTTTAAAATAAAAAACATGATTTAAAATGGAATGGGTGCTGAAACCATTGTGCATGATCTTATAAGACTATGTACAATCGCTAATGTACAACTCGCTAGGTGTACACTCAGTACTGGCTGTACACGCACTAGTGTACACTTGCTAGTGTACACTCTGTACTGACTGTACACTTGCTAGTGTACACTATATACTGGCTGTACACGCGCTAGTGTACATTCGCTAGTGTACACTCAATATTGTATACTCAGTGTACACTCGCTATTTATATGTTGTTTTAATTTTAATTTAGTTACTAATATGTAATTGTTATATTGTAAGAAAAATAAATAATGCAAATTAAAATTGTGGGATATGATGTTGAATTTTTTAAAACAAATCATTATAGAAGTTTAAAATGAGGTGGTTATTGAATAAATAAGATGGAAGAAAGAGAAGGTGATGTGGAATATTAAAAAGAAAAAATAAAAGTGTTAAAAGTGGAAAAGATGTTGAAACTATTATACATAGTCTTATAGACTTTATTAGTTGTTGTTTAGTTATTGTGGATTTAGTTATTAACGTGGTCTTGTTGTTAAATTAGGGTTTTCACTAGTTTTGTTATTTAAACTTGGTCTTGCTATATATTGTAATCAAACAGCTTTTGACGTTTGATAAAAATACAGAGAAATATTTAGAAATATATTATATAAACCATAAACACACAAAAACAATAAACATAGTTATCTAAATAACTAATAAAATAAATAAGAAATATTTAGAAATATCTTAAATATTTATCTACACCAATATGTAAACTTTTTAGATTTGAATTAGGAGATCTAAAGAAGTTGTGAGTCCTAGTGGCAACGTCAATACGTCGTAGCGATGGAGATCGCTAAAAAGTGTTACGCAAGGGCAAGGTCACCGGTAGCAATCATATGCCTGTGGTTACCTAAGTTGATTACAACATTTGATTCTAGAAGCTTAGAGATCATGATAGTGGAGGATTGACTGGTATTGCAAGGATGTTCAAGCACCGTTTTCGTAGTTTGTTAAATCTTTTTGCTTTTAAACGTTGTCCCTCGTTTGAAGCTGAACTTTGGTTTATTTGATATTTACAATTGATGGGAAAAAAAAATATTGGGGAATACCTAAAATTTGTATTTTGTTGACAAAAAAAGTATGGTCATATCAAACAATTTTTTGGTCATATCTTCCCCCCCCCCCCCATTTTGATGTGTTATATATGTCTGTTTCAAGAAGCAATTTAGCAATCAAGTTAGGGTGATCTAATGGTTGAAGGATTCACCATGAGATCATTTAGATACTAAGTTTGAGTTTTTCTAATTGGTTTTGATCATGAGTGACTATTATGGATGATATTCTTGAAAAGCCTACCAGCTCATTATTTTATACTGTTATGGCCTTCGTGAATAGAATTTTTGCCTAGTAATTGATATACGATAGACTTCTAAAAATTAATACTCGATAAATTATAATTTTTATAAATTAATAAATTTTATCAGTTCTAATTTTGGTCAATTTAAATTTTTTCACAGATTGATAAAATAATAATTTCTTAGAAAATTCTATATAAATATATGGTCTCGTTAAAACTAAAATTAATAATTTATAATTATAAATATTTTACATAACTATAATTCATCATTATATTTTTTGTTTTATATTCACAATAAAATCATTTTATATTTGCTTAAAACTTAATATATTTTTGATGAGATTTAATAATATTATGTCTAAAACCACATTTAAATTCTATAAAATATATACTATTATCTATACCAAATAATATAATAAAATTAATATAAATATAAATATCAAAATTTAAAAAAATTATAATTAATATACACTAAAATTAAATCTTTTTATCTTAGAATAAATATACCTTACAAAAAGAAATCAAAATAAGAAAAACTTTTTTAAATTAATAAAATTTTAAAATCTCAACATTATTTATTTATAGAGATTTTACTATATGCAGTAAACATTGACTTTTACCATATTTAGGTGTATCTCTAAGTTATTAACTTTTTATTTTGTTGGAATACTAACAAAATGGTTTGATGTTCATCTGATTGCGAACTAAATATATGAAAAGATCTGTGCCAAGAATAAGGATTTGAGACTGATATTAATTACTAAAGTTTTGGAATGTAATTGTTGATTTTATAATTGACTTGGATATTTTGGCACTTTGTACAAGCCACATTCGTTTGATACATTATTTATTTTTAGTTTAGAAACACTTCATAGTAAAATAAATTTATTTAAGGGAAACAAAATAAATTAAGATTTTTTGAGAAACATAATATGAGTTTTAAGATTATAAATTATTTATTCCTTTTTTAAACTAACCATAAAACAAGTATTTGTATCTATCAGATTTTTGCTTTCTAGTTCTTTTGCTTTTTAAAGTACTAACTAGATATTGACCCGCGCTTCGAAAGCGCGGGTTTGAATTATAAGTAAAATTTGATATAAGTTAGTATTTTGATATTTTGTATATTATTATATTACAAAATCTTATTATTTTGAAGCAGAGAATTTGTTTAAAATTATGTAATTTGTAAATTAATTTATTTAAAATTCTGTATATACATTTTTATATAACTCTCTCTTAAGTCTAGGTATTCTATCCGGATCTAAAAAACTGACATGTAAATACATGTTGATTTGGATCCAAAATAAAGTATATATCAGGTATTTTTTTGAACCCGTGAGTTTTGGTTTGGTCCAGATCCTACACAAAACTTTTGTTGTATATATTAACATTATATTTTGGATAAAATTTGGGGTTTTTTAGACTCGAAGAATCCGGCCCAAAAATTTCTACGTACCCGATCCAAATACCCGTATGCAATATTTTTATTATATTTTGTATGCAATTTATAGAAGTTTCATTTGTTAAGTTGGTGAAACTTAATAATATAGATTTGTAGATATTTTAATAGTTTTTCAATTATGTTAAATAATTTTTTTTTATTATGATTCTTATTAATAGTACAGATTTGTAGATATTCTTACAATAATTCTTTCTAATAGTATAGATATTTATAATTCACCAATCATTTAATAATGGAAAAATAAAATCTATGACGAATACATATATTAAACTAAACTTCACAACGAAGTGAACATGTGGATTTCTTAACTTTTGGTCTATATATATAAAAGAGTTTACAATGATCTTATGTTCATAGAAGTTGGTACTTAGTACATAAATTATTATACGATTATGTCTCAATATAATGGGTGACGTAAGATTAGAACATGGACACTATAATTTGCGTGAATCAATAGTGGATTATATGGTAACTAAAATAAATAAAGCTAATATTGTTTAAATGATATTCTAAAGATATTATGTAGATGTATATAATTTGCGTGAATCAATAGTGGATTATATGGTAACTAAAATAAATAAAGCTAATATTATTTTAAATGATATTCTAAAGATATTATGTAGATTATATAGATAACCTTCTAAGGATATTAATGATATTCTAAATAAGAATCTTACATATAGGAAGTAACACAANTGTAGATGTATATAATTTGCGTGAATCAATAGTGGATTATATGGTAACTAAAATAAATAAAGCTAATATTATTTTAAATGATATTCTAAAGATATTATGTAGATTATATAGATAACCTTCTAAGGATATTAATGATATTCTAAATAAGAATCTTACATATAGGAAGTAACACAATTAAAAGATATTTAGAAAGATTATTAAGTTGGTCTATGTAGATTAATGAATAGGTCCAAACAACATTTTAAGTAGATTTTTTAGGACTCCTTCTCTTTTAATAGTATAGATTTTCAGTTCAGTGACAAAAAAAAAAAATTAGTAATATTCAGA